GTATGTATTTGTTTATCACGTTTCCTCCCACTAGAATGGAGCTCCATGCAAGCAAGGCTCGTGTGGTGTCTGACATGCAGCAAGTAAACAGCAAGTATCACTGAATGAGCTGCTACAGGAAGCTCTCGCCACCTGGACACACCGCAAGTACCTTCTGAGAAAATGCATTCTGTGCCAAGCACAGGCCTGAAGACCCAAGGACCCGTTGTCACAAGTCTTTCTGTCTTTCTCCCGTAAAAGAGTAGAGGCTATTTGATAAGCTCCACTCTTAGCAATAACGAGGGCTTCCACTTCCCATCTCAAGAGGGACGATAAAAATGCCGTAACCATTACATCTGGCTCAGATTATTCCTATTTTCGAGGTAGTTTAGCAAAGGGATTAAGAACTCTGGGATCAGTCTCTGGATTAGAATCCAGGTTCTACCACTTCCTCGTTGTCCACCTTTTGGCAAGTTAGTTTCTATCAGCCTCAACTTTTTAATCTGTAAAACGGGGCTATTAACACCAACCTTGCTGAGCAAGTCAAGTGCTTAGCACATATTAAGAGCTTCATAAATATCAGCTATTATCATTACCATTCTCTGTTTCTTGGCTAAAATGAACAAAAAGGAGTGGAGAAGGGGCCTGGGAGGCAACATCCCACTCTCCTTCCAGGCTTGAGGAAGGAGAATCCTGGTTATCAAGTGAGTGTTAGCAACGATCTACTGGGGAAAAAGTGAGCTTAGGTCCTGAGGCCTGTTACAAAGAAAGAAAAGGTCAGAGATGGAGATGTTAAGAGCAGAAAGGCCAGGGCTGGCGTCTCTATGTCAGCTCATCTTTCAGTGGTCCAAAGGAACTAATCTGCTTTCTCCAAAATCTGCTCCTTGTCTGGAATTCCTTCTCTCTCCTCCAATCCATCTTTCTCCCAAACTAGAAACCAAGGAGTCATCTTTTTCTTTCTTCCCCTGCGTCTACCTCTTTCACATCAAACTTATCATCAGAAGTGGGTTAACTTAGATCCTCAATATTTCTGATGTCTGCTCTCTTCCGTGCCCATTGCCAAGGCCTTGCTTCAGACTCCACTGCCTTGTTCCACATAGCAACAGCAGCCACCTTCTCCCTATCCACCTCGGACACCCTTGCCAGTTATCTTTCTAATCCCTTAAAATCCCTCAAAGGCTTCAAACTCCTAAGCATTTCTGAAAACCCTCGGAGACCTGGTGCCTGTCTGCCTGCGGCCACTCCCCCAGGCAAATCCTGTCTCCAGTCCCACTACTTCTTGTGGTTTCCTGAGCTCCCCAGTTTCACAGCCGGTTTCAAGAGCCCTTCGCATAAGCATCGCTTTTTCTTGAAAGTTTTCGCTAAGACGCTAAGCCACCGGGGCTCCCTTCTTGTTTTTCTTACTGTCTTGTGCGTAGGTCCACAATAGCTCTTAGCACCCTGTATTGTAATTGCTGGACTCCTAGCTATCTCTATCTCTACCCATCCCCTAACCCCGGTTAAATAATTTCTTTAAGAAAAAGACTGTGTTTCTCCTAACCTACCTAACACATTGCTGGAAATGCACAGCATCTTTTTTTTTTTTTTAACATCTTTATTGGAGTTTAATTGCTTTACAGTGGTGTGTTAGTTTCTGCTTTATAACAAAGTGAATCAGCTGTACATATATATATATCCCCATATCTCCTCCTTCTTGCGTCTCCCTCCCACCCTCCCTATCCCACCCCTCTAGGTGGTCACAAAGCAACAGCATCTTTTTACTTTTTTATTATTTTTTTTTTTTTTGCGGTATGTGGGCCTCTCACTGTTGTGGCCTCTCCCGTTGCGGAGCACAGGCTCTGGACGCACAGGCTCAGCGGCCAAGGCTCACGGGCCCAGCCACTCCGCGGCATGTGCGATCCTCCCGGTCCAGGGCACGAACCCGTATCCCCTGCATCAGCAGGCGGACTCTCAACCACTGCGCCACCAGGGAAGCCCCAACAGCATCTTTTTAAAAAATGTTTGCTGAGTGAATGATTTTGGAGGGGTGTGATGAGAGTCAGCACCAAAAAGACTAGAAACTTGATCGCATCATGAATGAATTCATAAAAAACAACACTTTTACAGAAAAACTATGCAGATCAAGCATGTTAGTAGGATATTTATATAGAAGCTGTGGTGAATTTATTGGCAGTTGTTGGGCAGTAAAATACAGTAAAAAGAGCTTTTAGATCAGGAACTCGGGGTTTGAATTCCAATTCTGTCACTTCTAAGCCAGGGCACTATGGACTTAACCTAATTCTCAGCTGCTTCACCTATAGAACAAGGACAATTTAAGGAACTGCTGGACTGCACTGTTTTATCAAATGAGACAATGGTTGTAAAATGCCTGGCACAGAGCAGGTTTCTAAGACTGTTAATAAACGTTGGCCCCTTTCCACTGAAAAAACACTGCTAAAATGTCCAAGGCCATATATTCTGCATTTGGGAAGGAAGACAACTTCTAAAACCTTGACCACACCCTGAATCCCAGCCAGCCCTCTTGAAGATGAACTAGGTCATACAGATTTTGCAAAAAAAAAAAGAAAATCATTTCAATGAAAAGACATCATCACCACAGTTGAAAACCAGTTTAAAATACCTGCCCTACTCAGAGCATCATTTTGGTATTAAAAAAACAACACATGAGCAGGGTACAGAATGAATGTAATGTAAATAATGACGCCTTGAAATGCAGGTTCCTGAAGAGAATAAACTTAGTCATGGATCTGCTCTATACAGCAAAGGGCTCATTGTAATGTGCTAATATAAACAGCAGTGAAGTTAAAGAAATACTCTACTTAGAAAGCACAAGAGAAGAAAAGTACAAGAATTCAAGGTGATCTATAAGAGGGACCAAAAAGTACCCATAATGTAAAATCTTCTAAAGCTACTACCCTGGTTATAGCAGACTCTATTTTTCATGGACTGCATTCTCATATATTTTCATTTTGCTAAAATATGAAACTCTGTCATACCTAATTTCCTAATTTAGATTGAAAGATCAATGTCTTACACCCTGAGATGCATGTTTGAGTTTTCAACAATATAAATATTATTTTCTAACCAAATAAATGTCAACTACCGATCTGTGACACAAGTTTCCACCAATAGAGTAACAATAAGGCAAAAGTTCTGGAAATGTCTCTGTTGAGAACTGTTCACCTAATCCCAGAATTACAGGAAATGGATTTAAAAAAACTTAAGCTTTTTCCCCATAAAATATTTGTTTTAGATTATGCTGAGAGTAAAATTACCAGTTATTGAACTGTCCCTTTGTGTTCAGGCCAACTAATTTGTTGAACATAATTTTAATATTGATCTTATAATTAGTGAATTTAATTTTTCGCATTTATTTTAATATCTTGTTGACCTTGAAAAATGTCTATCTCCTCCACAATGATTACATTTGTTCCATATATGGTAAAAAAAAAGTTAATACCTTCCTCAAGGACTGGATCAAGTGAAGAGCTACAGTTCAGATTATACAGTTCTTTAACTGGTCTGTATGCTTTAATGGCTTTCTTAGTGAAAAGTCAAGTATGTAAAAACTTCTAAACCAGGAACAATTTAAAGAATGTCAAGAAAAAAAGTAATTTCTGGAGGTAAAAGACTCTAAAAAACTCTCTGCCTTAAGAGAAATGATCCACTAGCATTAACGTTAAAGAAAAAAGGAGGTGCACTTTAAAAAAACTACACAAAACAAAGTGCCTCTAAGAGGATCTCTTGATAGTTCCTACCTGAATGAAAGAAATTGTTCAATATTCTTCTAATTTAAGATTACACTACTGATGTATTTAGAAAACAAAGTCAGTAACAAAGAATGGGCAATCCTGACTTTCCAAAAAGCCAGGTATCATAACCAACAAAATTATTTGCTTCCTTTCCTATGTGACCCTTAACCCACCACTTGCCTGCCTCATCTCTGGAGAATTTTAGTCCCTAGGTAAATATATTGACTGCTCTGCAGCTAAAACTGAAGCATGGAAGTTTTACAGTACAACCAACCTGATGGATGACTACTTTCATAATACTGTAGAGAAGTTTTACATGAACTGTGGAAGAAATGGTAGGTGGAAGAGAATGAGGCCAGCAGGGGTCCTGAAAGGGAAGCTCCCAAATTTTAAAAATAAAAAAGAAGGGAAAAGTCAACAGAGTCACAGGAAAATCCTTGTACCCTAAATGCCACTTTTTCTTATTATTATTAAATAATCTTGAAAATATCAAGAAGGGGATCTGTAAGACTCCTTTCAGAAATGATAATAGGGGGAATTTTCAAAGTTATTTGCTTCCTGTTCAGTGTCTGTTACAGCAAAACACAAGTTTGAAAGGGCCAAAAACTAGAAAAAGGCATAATGAAAGAGAAGTATACCAGAAGCCATTAGTGGTCTGTTAAATTGCTAGAATTTAACTGTAATTCACGAAGCAACTGAGAAGATGCATATTTTGTTAAATATCAAAGAATCTGTCTGTAGACCACCCCCAAACACATATGTAATGTTTAATTAACTTATACAGTGAAATGCCACACATACTTGGGATTTCAAATCCTTTAAAAACATACACCTATACATTATGATTCCTCCCAAAATTATTCTTTAGATCTCTGCAGTAAGGCGCGCGCGCGCACACGCACATGCGCGAGCGCGCGCGTATACACACACACACACACACACACACACACACACACACAACTTGATGTAAATCTAGCCCTTTTTGCTTAAATACCCTGAAGAAAAGAATGAAAGCCTCAGTTTGCTCTCCTCTTCTTTAGACCCTAAAAGAAGACTCGAAAAGAGGCAAATGGAGTCCAGGATGGGAAAAGAAGGCAAAGGAATACCAGAGAATACAACCGGAGACCCTCTCAGGGACTCATTTAATTCTTAGAAAATGTCATCTCCATTCCTGCCCAAAGGCCAGGCACCACTGGCGCAATATCAACCCTATCCAAAGCGCCGAAGAGTTGCCAACTAATCTCCCAAGGTGTCCCCCAACCTCCTCACCTCATCAGCGCTCAGCTCCTCCATCGCTTTCCTCTTAATGGTGAAAGGCGTTAAGGAGAGATCTTCTGTTCTTTGAGACCAGGGCGGGAGGATAGTGGAAGGTGTCTATCGGGCTGTCTGGTCCCCCGAATGGGGGAGGTTTCAGAACTGCATAGTCAGAGGTTAAAAAATAAGAACACGAGAGGCAGTGAAATGCCTTGGCGTCGGTCACTCCAATTGCCCCAGAGACTCCTATAGCTGCTTACGCCACGAGCAGCCTCCTTTGACCGCCACTGCTGCTGCTACAGGGTTATCGTAAGGCGCCACTTTTTACCCTCTGCTTCCCAGGTTACCCAGACTAGGGAGCTCGGTCTCCAGCTCTCCTCGTGCCCGGAGCCTACTGTGTCTTCGTGGTGGTGGCGCGGCAGCTGCGCTTCCTCCAGCAGATCGTGCTCTCCTTCCAACCCTATCCCCCTGGCGGGAAGTGTTCAACTGCAGAGTGGGTGCCCCGAGGCAAGGCGACCCCAGAGCCGCCCAGGCAGAGCCCAGCACTGAGGAGGGAAGCTCCTCCCCTCCCAAAGCAGGCCGGCCACGCCCCGCCTCCACGCCGGAGCCGGGGGCAAGGGGGAGGGGGAGGACCGAACTCGCGATGTTCTGGCTGGAAGAGTAAATCCTCCTACCCCTCCACCCCTACTCTTACCCCCTCGCCCCACCAAGTATTATTCATCAAAACAACAGGGCGGCCATCTTTGAAAGGGATCACGTGACCCCGTCAGACAGGCGGGGTTTCTGGCCCCAGGACGAGGCAGCCAATGGGCCGCGGGCGTCGCGGGGCCGATTTCCTCTCTCCTGCATCTCCTCCCGCCTCCGCCCCACCCTCTCCCCGGCAGCCGCGCGGGGCGGGGGGAGGGGCGAGCGGGGCCGCAGGCGGACCGACCGAGCGCGGGGGGCGGGGCGGAGAGTTGCCATGGCGACGGCACGGGGGGGCGGTGCGCGGGCCCTGCCCAGGTAGGTTCCTGGGAGGGCCACGCGGGCGGGCGATGGCGGAGGCCGCGGGGCACGGCGCCTGCAGACAACGGGAAGATTGGCCAGAAGGAGACTCCCGCCCGCGACCCGGGCCCACAGCGCCTCCGTTGTTCCCCAGGCTTTTCTCTTTAGCGGCTCACAAACGCCTCTCGACTGTCCACGATGCCGCCCAAAAGAACTAAAAGAAACGGAAAACGTCTCCTTTCTGCGATGAGCGTTCTCTACCAGCCTGACCGCTCACATTCTGCAAAACCTTTCTACGTAGACTCTTCCTCCTCCGCAAGGAAAGCCCATTTGGAAGAAAACTTTAACACAAGTAGAACTTCATTTCATTTCACTTTGTTCTTTTAGAGAGATAATTTCTGATTTTTTTTAAGTGTGTTCCAAATTTGAAAGTATAAATGGGTTTGAGACCCAGAAAACTTTGAAGTGCATACACAAACACAAGGAAGACTTGTGGAGCCAAGGAAAAGAAACCACCGTCCTTACCTGGACAAGAATACAAAAAAATTTTTAATTGAAATGTGTGTAATCAAAACATCATATTAGTTTTAACGTGTACAGCATAATGATTTGACATACGTATATATTGGGAAATGATTACCACAATATGTTAACGCCCATCACCACACATACTTTTTTTTTTTTCTTGGAATGAGCACTTTAAAGAGTTATTCGCTTAGCAGCTTTAAAATATATGATACAGTGTTGTTGACCATAGTCCCAATGCTGTACATTACACCCACAGGACTTCTTATAACTGAGTTTGTACCTTTTGACCACCTTCACCATTTTGCCCACGCACTATCCCCCTCTGGCAATCACCAGTCTGTTCTCTGAAGAATGCAAATATTTTACAATATGCAAGTCTAAACAGTGGTCAATGTTTAACAGAGTCATGAAATTCCAGATTTTGCCACCTACGAAGAATGTAATGTATGGGATGGTTTACTTAACCATAATATTACAGATTGCATTCCAGAATTAAAAGTCACAATTTTTTTTTCCTGCTACTTACTTAAAATAGTAACCTGACAACCAGATATGTAAGGAATTTGTGTGTAATATTAGACCACTGCTGGCTTTACATATTATCTGCTCTCCAGGAACGGAATTCTGTGTAAGCCAGAATTTAGACGCCTGGTGACACTGACATCAGTGCATTTACTTCTTTTGTTAAACGTGGTCATTGCCATATAATTCGTATTCCATACAATTCACCCATTTAAAGTGTACGATGGTTGTAGAATATTCACAGTTATCAACCATCATCACTAATTCCAGAACATTTCATCACCCCAGAAAGAAACCCTGTACCTGTTAACAGTCACTCCCCATTCTCCCCTCCTCTCCCTCTGGGCAACCACTAATCTACTTTCTGTCTCTACCAATGGAATCCTACTCTATGTGGCTTTTTGTGTCCAGCTGCTTTTATTTAGCATATGTTTTCAAAGTTTATCCATGTTGCAGTATATATCAGCACTTCATTTCTTTAATGCCGAATAATATTCCATTGTATGGATATACCACATTTGTTTATTCATTCATCAGCTAATGGACGTTTGGGTTGTTTCCACTATTTGGTTATTATGAATAATGCTGCTATCAATATTTATGTGTAAGTTTTTGTGTGGACATTTGTTTTAATTTCTCTTGGATATATACCTAGGAGGAGAATTTCTGGGTTTTATGTTTAACTTTTCAAGCAACTGAAAAACTGTTTTCCAAAGCGCCACACCATTGTACATTCCACCAGCAACATATGAGGGTTCCAATTTCTCCAATCCTCACCAACACTTGTTAGTATCTCTTTTTTAGAATAGTCACACTAGTAGATGTGAAGTGGTATCTCACTGCAGTTTTGTGTTTTCATTCCTCTGAGGGCTAACAATATTGAGCATCTTTTCATGTATTTATTAGTTATTTGTATATCTTTGGACAAATATCTGTCCAAATCCTTTGTTCATTTTTCAATTGGTTATTTGTCTTTTTATTGTTGAGTTGTAAGAGTTCTTTATATACTCTTGGATATTAGTCCCTTAACAAACATGTAATTTATAAATATCTTTCCCATTCTGTGGGTTGTCATTTCACTTTCTTGATAGTATCATTTGCAACACAAATTTTTTTATTTTGATGTAGTCCAATTTCTTTCTTTTGTCATTTGTGCTTTTGATGTAATACATTCACTTTTACAGGGCATATTGAATCATTTATTATTTCTCCTAGTCAGTTTGTGCTGCTATAACAATACCATAGACTGAGTGGCTTATAAGCAACAGAAATTTATTTCTTAGTTCTGGAGGCTCAAAGTCAGAGGTCAGGGTGCCAGCATGATCAAATCTGGTGAACTCCCTCTTCCAGGTGGCTTGTACTAGCTTCTCCTGGTATCCTCACATGACTGTGAACAGAGAGCAAGCAAGCTCCCTAGAAACTCTCATAAGGGCACTGATCTCATTTGAGTGCCTCACCCTTATGACCTCATCTATTCCTAATTATCTCTGCAAAGTAATGCCATCACATGGGGAGGGTGTCAACACATGAATTTGCAGGGGACACAAACATTCCATCTGTAACAATATTCAAATATTATAGGAAATATCCTTCCCATTTTGTGGCTGGAGAAAGTGAAACTATGAATATTAAATGGCCTGCCCCAAGTCAAATGGGAAAATGATTAGAAGTCTTGCTTACCCTGAATTCTTTCCCT